TTATGACTGATGAAGAGTGACTGTAAGTTGTGACATAGTCAGGTTTCATGTGAATAACATGAGCAGACGTACTACGCTACCAGGGATTAAAAAGCATTAGGTATATAAAGTAGGTGAAACAAGCATTTCTTAGAATTATTTTATTACAACATTTGTTGCTTATATATTGAGACAAATCTAGGTTTGAATTAGTTTCAGACTTATGAAAGATAAAGATTTCCACTTCAGTCAACCAAGACATTGAATTTTACAGACGATTTAAGTTGTTTCAATAATCATTTTTGTTTGTTCTACGAATAAACTTTGAAGGTGACCTGTGTACGTATTTTACTAATAAAAATGAACAAAACAAAATATTATGTCTCGTCTTATTTCGATTGGAAAAAAATATTTTAGTATTAGATAGTAGGTATCACGAAGAGCCAGTATTAGTAAATAGTTATCAGCTTTATTAGAGTATGTAGTTGATTTATATAAGAGTTTAAAAAAAGCTTCAAGAATTAAAAACGGTCAAAAAAGGATAAAAATAACTTATTTTGATAATTTATGGTAACATATAAAACTCTAATATAAACGGGAATCCTTGTAACACAATTAAAATATTAGATATTATATGTTAATGTGCTTTTTGCTTATGTATTTAGTTTTGCAATAACTTATTTAGATAGACACACATTCGTGATTCATGAAAACTCACAATATTAACGTAACATTCGACACGTGCATCACCCTATTCCCTGGATACAAGAACATGGTTAGATAGTTTCTAGTCTCACAACAGAAATAAGAAACAAAGTAATATCAAAGTTATTAGCGAAATTAGTCAGTCCAGAAGTTACCTTTGATCAATTCTCAAAGCTTGAGATACGAAGCGACTTGGTGAAGAGTTCAGCCAACTGGATTATCCACTACATATCTCCTTTATCTGTAAACGTTTAGAAGTTAGAAGCAACCTGAATAATTGTGCTCAGTGAAACTCGCTAGTTTTGGACCAAATCTTGATATTAATTCTTGTTAGACTCCAACTTGGTAATCAAAATGGAATGCAGTGTTTTCTTTGTGTTAGATTGTTCGTTGTACTGTATTTTTCGGTTCATAGGTGGTTTTCAGACTTGACATTGCTACTATGAAACTATCTAATGCCTACATTTTGCACGACTCTGCTCCATAAGGTCAATATCTATGTAGGTACTTATTGACCAACAACAATGATACTGTACTTCATGCTAATAAATATATATTATTCCTATTCCTTATGGGTCTTTATGGGTTATAGACGTTACCTACTACGATGACTGACATGATATGATAATTTTTTGAGGGCGTAAAATAGTTTACCGTTCTTGATTTTTTTGGCGAAGATAAAATACTTTTTTTGCTTCGTCAGATGGGCAGGTGGGTATATCAGAAACTTTCTGACTAAATACCTCATCCTTTCCTTGCCCTGCTCCGAGAAGCTACAGCTGGACATCAGTCCTATCCTAGAGAACATCTGTGATCTGGTGGTTCTGAGGCGCTCGTGAAACGCATCGTGCCGTACGTTGGGATCCAGTTATGATCGGGCGGCGATTACAGATATAGGAACTTTTCAACTCGCAGGATTAAAACTATGTATTTGTACGTACGTGTAAAATTTTGTAGTTTGTTTAGAACTATGCCACACTTAGGGTTGATTTTTCAATGGTTAAATAAAAGTTATCTGAGGTAGGTATAATTATGATGCCGTCGCGTCCGAATGTTAGTGTAAGACAGTGACAGCAACAAATTTATTCCTCAGATAACATTTATCCTCAAAATATTCTGTATTCTGAGCATTTACGTGACTATTGAAAATTCAGCCTTTAGTCAAAATAATATGCTACTCAAATACATTAAACAATCCACAGCATTCTAAATTTAAATAAACACAAATAGATCCATATTAAAATTCTTAAAGCGTCAAAGCATAATGATCCATCAAAATAATTTTTCTTGTTAATAAATGCGTTTTCACCGTTTCCTCCATAATTTCGAGGGGTGACAATTAGGGCGGAATATCGTTGAAATTACGATGAGTTTTGATTGATAATGGCTCACCCTCTGTCTGGTAGGGGGCCATGATAATAATACTTGCAACTTTTCAGTAACGAACTCCTAAATTAGTTAAATTACTGACAGATTTCTTGGTCGTATGATTGACGAACGTAGGCCTGGTTTAAGATATTTGGTTATTATATTTTACACATAAGTACCTAGGTACTTTAGTTCGACTAAACAAGAATTTATTCTAGGTACCTAAGTTCGTATAGCTATAGCTACCTATAGATTTATCTCTATTTAATGACACAAGTATTAGGAACTAGTAATAAAATAATTAGAAATAATAATTTATTCATTTAATGATATGCCTAATATCCGTTACAGGCAAATTTCGAAGAAATTAGTAAAAAATATTTAACAGCAAATTGTCAATTTCGATACATCGAAATCGTATTGAATGCAATGTTTTTTTTAATAAGTTATTCAGTAAAAGTTATAACATTGTGTCCTTATCATCTAAACTCGCCAAACTTTAACGTTTGATGGCAAGAGCAGTGTTAGAAGTATCTAATCAATTGTCGGTAACCATGATAATCCTTTGATAGTATTTGTACTTAGTAATAAGATACCTACTGTTTTTTTGTGAGTGGAAAATCATCAAATGACTTCTGTCGCTCAGGGTGAGGCGCGAAAGAATGTCTTTTACTGACTAAAACACCCCCATTCCTTCTCCTGGCTGTCGATAGGTATCAACCTGTGTTCAGCTGCTTTCTGCGACCTATATTACAAAGGTTCGTAGGTAAAAAATTGTTTTGTCAAGTATCAAGTATAAATTATAACTTGCAATGTACAGACGATATTTAAATTTATAAAATAATTTTAAACTTTATTAGTACTTTAGAATGACAACACGGTTGGGTCGGTGGCTGGGCAACTGGCTTCCGTACAACGTGTCGCGGGTTCGATTCCGGCACAAACCAACTCTGTGTTATCCACAAATTGTTGTTTCAGTTCTGGGTGTATGTGTATGTGAAATTGTATGTTTGTAACTGCAAACACGACACAGGAGAAAATCCTAGTGTGGGGCGACCTTTTAAGAAAAAATAAATAAATTGATACTTATATGGATAGATAGATGGATTTATTTAGTCTTTCACGTAAAAGCTAATCTATACTTCTATACTAATATTATAAAGAAGTAAAATTTGTAAGTTTGTATGTAGGGGTAATCTTTGAAACCGCTGGTCGGATTGCCAAAATTCTTTCACTGGTAGATAGCTACATATTCCTGAGTGCTGTAGGCAATAAAACATCACGCTACGATACGATAAATAGGTAGAGCCGAGCGGGTGAAACCGCGCGAGAGTAGATAGTGAATAATATTTTATAAATAAGGTTTAAAGGTTTCTAGTTCTGCAGAACCCGTATTGGTAAATACCTAGTTACTAAGTTATCACTAGTTAGATTTACCTCCAACTGACTCTTTTAAACTTCTAGTCTCTTTCCGTATGTTGGCTGAAATGTATAACTATTTAAATGGATTCGCAGTCCAGAGCGAACTAGTTTAAAACTTTAATGTTAGGTAAATAAGTATATCGAAAGGGCAATACTTACTTTATGTTTTAGACTTCCAACCTACGCTTGTAGGTGGAATACAACTCGATAGGTACAAATTTACATAAAACAACGATAAATTATTGAAACATTGAATTGGACATAGGCATAGACTCACACAAACTTTTTGACAGGACTCGTAGGTAATAGACAGTTTTATTACCTACATCAATCATTATTTAGTTGCACAAGGTTGCACAGCCAATTTTTCAAATCAAGCCGTAGTGTACTTATTTGATTGTTTTATGGTGTAGGTCGGGAAACGATCAGACGTATTACCTGATGATAAGTAATAGGCGCCGCCCATGGAAACTTACACTGATTCCCAAGAGTTACTACGTGGGTTATTAGAGATTTACGGTTAAGGGATTTGGGGATTGAGAATGGGAGGATAGGGCCTTCGGTAATCTCACTCATACACCGAACCACAAGGTAGGTTTTGTGTCGGCCGCAGTAATACCACGGCCTCACAGTGTGTGTGGCCGTGGTATCACTGCGGCCGAGCCAGCACATTCGCGCTGGAGCATACCTATATAATTCTAAAACACACTTTAAACTTTTATTTTTCTTGATTGGTAAAATAGTATATAAACCTGGCAACACCAGAAGAAGTTACAAATGCGTTACAAACGTTTTAAAAAGAAAGTATCCACAGTCTAATCATAGCATCAAAGTGTACATAAGCAAGGATTAAGCAGAATTTCATCTTTAATTACTTTGTCTTATCATTATAACTGTATCCATTGAGAAACGAAACCCAAAGACCTATTTAAATTCAATCATCAGTTAAAACTCAGCAATCTGATTAGAAGTAGTTTCTGAACTAATTAGGCAATCAAGCACTTTATACATAGGCATATAGGGTCCATTTATGCATGCGACTAACTTTCAGTGGTCGAATTATCCGACAAAAGCCTGGCTTGGCGCCCCGCCAGCACTCGGCGCCAGGAATTTCACGGCTTTCTTCACATTACAACAGAATCAAACCCGACAATAATTAACGTTTTGTTTTATCTTTTAAACAAATTTTGCGGTGGTATTATCCCTTTTTATTAAGAAGGGATAGTGCCTAAAACTGATATCGGTTTTGATAGGTTATTTGTTATGTAAGTACATTATTATTCTTCATGTAGTCACTTCAACATTACTGTATTTTTTAAAATAACTTAATACTTACTTAGACTTGAATGAATCCAAAGTGCTCCGTAGTTCAGCAGACACACTTAAGGACCAACGAGGCAGTCAGCCGTGGGGTAAACTCCTATAATTGAATTTAATGAGGGCGTCGATAAGGCGTTCTCATTAAGCTGGTTATAAATGAAGTTCCAATCGGAGGGAGCCAATCTCGGGGCAAGTAAAACAAGGCATTTCATTAAGAAATAAAAACTTTTATTATTATCAGTTCAAATATCGTATTTACATTCTTTTAAACGAGTAAAAGCACATTGTTTATACATTACAAAAAATATTAAAAAAGAACAATAACTAAATTCAGTAGCGGGACAATTTCGTGATACGTAAAATAAACAGTTAATTGAAAATAACCTAGGATAGTTTAAAAATTAAAATAAATCTCATAACGTCCGTGCACTACGGGACTCGGACAAACGGCCATGGCAACTCGTATAGGACTGTCATAACTAAGAAACCATAACAACTAATTGATTAATTAATATTACCTATATACAATTCGTTCCTTCGCAACGAACGTGAGCCTTGCGGCCTCGATCAGTACATCGTACAAATGCAAATTATTATGTATACAATAGAATTTCCACTATTCTCAATATAAATGCTCGACGTAATCTCGTATCGTACATATGTAGGCGCGGGGCGCCCGTGCCTCACTCAACGGGTGAATTACTTACTCGGCGTCCCCTACCAGGACCGCGAGTGCGGCCAACACTATCGCGAGCCAATATCATAACTACATGCAGCGGCGTATTCCGACTCGGTATTATTATATTCTATCCTTATAATATTTGATTACATTAATGGATTAAGTTAATCGACGGTATCTACGCACTCGACAAATAACAATGTCTAAGGCAACTCGCGGCGTGTTGCGTCGCCTTACAAACACGTCAACAATTCAACAATCGAACAACGAAGGTATATTACACTAGCGCCGCTTTTAAGTTGGCTGGAAGTGGCCACCACTCGCGTCCCGGCTGCAGGCCGCGACCCATTCTATATTACATACAATAAAACTCAACAAACCATATACACTGAAAATATTGCGTTTCACATACTATACAATTTACGTACTATATTGGTGTTCGGAACCGTATTATGAATTAACTACTCTGTAGTGCCGGGGGCGGCCCTTGAGTTTGTGACGTAACAATTTTGTGCTCAATCTCGTAAAATTTTGTTTAATTCAGCTAAGTGCACGCCCCCGGCACTCGATGTAAACGTCTCTAAAGCTCGGTAAGGTAAGGACTATACTAACTTGATCTACGCTCACTAGTGTTACCCGCGCACACTGACAACTCGATCCTACATAAGTATATATATACTTAATAAGTTATTATCGATTTTGTCGCGTATTTTGGCAGTGCGTTCAGTGCGATTCAATTGTAATAAGGCTTACGCTTAGTCTTAGCGTAGGTAACGTTATAATTGATTTTTATTGCTATTAAGTTACCAGACTATTTTATTTACACAAATCGATTTAATTCGCTTCTAGACTAGCATTAGTTTAAGACTACATACAAAATGATTTAAGCGATACTTATGTCTTGATTATTTATTTATAAACCCGGATTTACTATGAAGCGTTATTTATTGTTGGCACAATTTCCGCCGATGTTCCTGTAGGCTACGATCTATTAAGAAATCACAGATAACATGTATGTGTGTGTTACTCGGTTACTAGCAAGACATCGCATTAATTCGTCTATAGTTCACCGTCAAGTTGCCAATGCGCCGGCCCTATGTAACTTACACTGCGCTCCTACCCTTCCGTAGTGGGGACCACTAACAATTCACTAAACTTGTTAATTTCACTAGTCTTTAGTCTAGACGGAACCTAGCTTCCATCTACGCTACGCTGCTCGCTCGGAACATTGATTAGTATATTATTTATAAATCGTCGAATTCCCTATAACGTTACAATTTACAGTAGGACGGTCCCACAATTGTTTATATTTGAGATCTGCGAACATTAAATAATTTTGGTAATAGTTTATCTCCGTTCAATTCACATGGTATCACTGGAGGTATCACTCCACTCCTCGCCACACTAACTTTACTATTTGAGCACCGTGGAAGGAATGTGTGCATAAGATTTAGATGAACGCCAACATTCAATGGAGGAGCCCCTACCATGAGCCACGACGCGAGAACCCGATAGATGAATAGCAACCGATATCATATAACCAATTAATCGTCAGCTCATGGCACGAGCTCGATGATAAAACCGTATAGTTTCATAAGACTGCATTAGAGTAAACTTCATCGACAATTATCCCTTAATAAATATAAATAAACATCTTCAAAATTTTTACCAAATTATGAGCATATATTTCCAGCATAAAAATCTTTTAAAATAATACGTCATACTCTTCTCAATTATAGATATACATGGCACACTGCTCTGTTTATATATTTATAGTTATAATTCATACACTCGTTACCTATCAGTTTACCTTGTCACCATAGAATAATTGAATTATATGGATGGATATTCCGTTGGAAGCTTAACAAGCACTAATACAATAATAGAAAGGACAAAGCAATCGGACGAACAAACAATGATGGGGGTTTTGAAATCAACTGAATACTGTCGCCGACATTCGATGCCCGATCGAGCGATTTTTTTATTTAGACGTTACAATTATCACGAAATGTTGGTCCGACGGAGCGAGTCAGTATTGGACGCCTCCTGGTGAAGTATAGGAATCGCGGCGTACGCGCCGGGCAGAACGAAAAAAGCGTAATTGATTCGACTAAGGGGGTCGGCGGCCGAGTCTCACTTGATGGTCGCGTGCCGGGTCTCGGGGTGCAGGCATACGCCTTCCACTGTGAATATTGATACCTCTGCAACAATAACAAAGAAAAATTGATCAAGTTTAAGAACTGAAACTTATACAACATACCTGCTCGGCGGATTGCTTAAATGAAAGTTGGAAAATGTTGACGTCTATTTTGACGTATGCTAATGTCAATCTCAGACATCGAGTAATGTTTATAATTCAGTTGTTCCGTTAAATACAATGGACAGTAAATAAAAATGTAAAAGATAGAATAACATTTTTTTTCTTTGATTTGAGGCAAAATTTATACTAATATTATCAAATTAAGAGTTCGTTTGTTTGAACACACTAATCTCTGGAACTACTGGATCAAATTGAACAATTATTGTTTGTTTGTTAGTCCATTTATTGACGAAAGCTATAGGCTATAAAACATCACGCTTCGATCTGTAGGGAAAGAGCAGCGGGTGAAACCGCGCAAGAATAGCTAGTGTTTAATAAACTTACCGTCAGGCAAGTCCCTGAGCCGCGGTGGGAGTGAAGCAAAGTAAGCGTTATGCAGTGCTCGTAACGCGGGCAGGCGTCGTGAGGGGTCAGGCTGCAGCAGGGCGGCGGCCAGGCGCTCCGCGTCCCGCCCGGCGTCGCGCAGGCGCGGGAATGCGGCACCCAGTGCACGCGCAGGGGAGGTGCCCCACCGCGATACGTGAGCGCGAAGCCCGGGTAAGCGGCTCACACCTGACCAGCTCTCTTCGGTTGGTGTTCCTACCACCTAAAAATTAAAAGGTTAGTTTAACACGTAATAACTTTTTTCACAGTTTCCTGGCATATTTTTTAACTTTTTGTACACAATTTTTCCGCACTACTCGATTTCATAACAAAATCCACTTGTTAAGTTCATGTAAATTGTTAAGCAGTTTTTGAGTTAATTTCTGCCATTGAAAACAACTCAACAGAAAAATGTCTACGAACCTTAAATATTTTATCTAGTTGGTCATGTGTGTCCCTGACTCCGGGGAAGGTGGGCACTCCACATAACATCTCCACGAATATGCAGCCAACGCCCCACATGTCCAACGATGTGGAGTACTCCGTGCTGCCCAGTAGCACATCTATAGGACAAAGGAATACAATCAATAACACTTATTTTACACGTCAAACCGCGTAGTTTACTGCTAACCTAATCTAACCTGGCCTCCTCTTCGTATCCTTTAACGGCCTATAAGATCGTTTTACAAACTAATTAATAATCTTTATATGTTACATACTCTCTATATTGTGCAAAAATATCGCTTCTGAATACTTATTTGTGAAAAAAGTAAATGCCAAGGGTTTGGACTCGGCAAAGAGGCTATATAAAAATGTTAACAAATCCAAATCTTTTTCGCAAAAGTTATCTTTTTCACATCATCCAAGAACTGTTTAGAATAGTTTACTTAAAGATAATTTAGCAGGATAGTAGGCATTCCGTAAGGTTCGCGAAAATGTCGAGATGTGTATATAAAAATGAAGATAAATGACGATTCGTTCGTGACAGCCATAAAAGTATATTTAGGGATAGTATGCGACATTCAATTCTCACTGTGCGGACATATAGCATCGTAAATTCACATTTTAGGAACGATATATCATTGTTATTGGTATTTTTTTGGGCAGCAGGGAACTATAAAACGGTATGGTTTTATAACTTTAAACATGAACATTGAACACGTGAGTCTATTTAAGCCTTACTTTATTCATAATTATGGATGATAATAAAAACTATCTTCTTCCATTACTCTATCGATTAAAAATCGGTAGCGTAATTTTAAAGATTTAAGCATACAATATAGGGATATCGAGACAGAGAAAGCTACTTTGTTTTCTAAACTAATATTATAAAGAGGAAGAGGTAAAATTTGTAAGTTTGTATATAGGGGGGTAATCTTTAAACCGCAGATCGAATTTCCATAATTCTTTCACTGATAGACAGCTACAATGATCTTGAGTGCTAAAGGCTATAAAACATTACGCTACAATTAAATGGAACATCTGGTGAAACCGAGCAAGAATATACTGTGTAGTAATAATACACTATCTTAGATTACATTCAATACTATATACACCATACATACTAACTCACTTCATCTACATATAAACTAGCATTACTCTCAAACAAGTAATATTAATCATGAAGCATATATTTCAGTCTGTACACAGCTAAATGCACATTTCACAACAGCACTCAGAATTACAAATAATGTTGCATTTCCCTAGGTTGCGTGACAAATTTATAGCCGGCACCGCTACACTATAATGTAAGTTTTCAAGGAAAGCATTTTGCTAAATATAACCAAGCTCTGTCTCATCCAATATCTTTAAAGTCTGTTCCTAGATATTTTCATAATAGAGAAGGTCTACTACGATTCTCCGAAACGAAATTTCGATTAAATAACCTGCACACCAAACAGTTGTAGATGTTTCATACATAACGTTCGATCGCGAAAAGCCAATGAATTCCAATTCTTCAAGGACGTACGAAGATGGCACAAATTGTATTTTATTACATATAAACTATATAAAAAATAACTTCGTTTCGGAAAATTGTAGTAGGTCCCCATTATGTACCTTGTTTTCTTCATTACAGCTTTTATAACTTGAGCATAAAATATGTGTTGGGTGTTCCTTTACGCAAGCACTAAATTAAATTAGTTTTATGAAAAGAGGAAAACTAGCTCTAGATTTAGTTTCTACGGAATTTTAGACTGATTAATGGGCCCGGTATTAGTAGAATCACGATTTTCAGCCTACACATATTTTTGTGAAATATGGTACATAATTCTTCTTTTGAGAAAATGACACCCACATATATTGTTATCATAATGAAGCGAATAAAACGTCATTACTTTGAACTGTCTGACGTCATATCGTCACATCTATAACACATTCAAACCTTTCATGAACACAATATCCCAAATTAGGGACTCAAAAACACATTAATAATAATAATATCCACAGATTACTCACCGGGAGGCCTGTACCATAGTGTGACGACTTCGTGAGAATATGTGTGACTGGGCACGGACTTGGCTCGCGCCAGACCGAAGTCTGCAAGTTTCAACTCGCCGTGAGAACTTATTAGTAGGTTTTGGGGCTTCACATCCCTGTTGGAAAAAGACGGATTATTAATACTCATATCTGAAGGCTGAAACATGTATGGATCAAATAGTTTACAGGGACAGCATTGTGTTAAAAAGTTAGCCAAGTTTATTTCCTTTTCTTAAGGAATGAAAAAGTTTTGATGATATTTTGTTTTGAAATACCATGTGACGTCACGATATAGGGCATTTTATTCTAAGCTGTAACGAAGCAACCGCTGACTTATTTTTTTAACTAAGTATATTTTGCTTTCTTATTACAACAAAATAAAAAATACGCGCCAACATTTTAACGAGGTAACTCTAATTCTTAATAATACCTTTAATTTTAGTGGATTATTGTTTTTATGTAATCTTTATGGTTTAAGTAAACCCGAAACGGTTTGACGAAGTAACTGGACTAAGTTCAAGCCATGCTCGGGGCTCTCATGAGCCGCTTTCCGTGACAAATGTGGCTGAACCGTAAAAAACAACAAAATATCTTACGAGAGTTATAACAGAAAAATGTATTATTAAAAATATTGTAAATTTTATTATACAAATGTTTTGGAAATAAGTATGTTATAGAGAGATATGTAGGTAAACAATTTTGAACGTTTCCAATGAACGAAGAGGGTCGAATTTTCATTAAAAAGGGAAATTGTTTATGTGTAAATACATGGCAGGGCTTTAGCCCGTAACCCAATATTCCTTGATATATATTTAAAAATCTGTATATATTTTGCCTTTGTTAATTACTATCGGTTTTCAGGGTAGACAAGAACATTATTTGAAAATAAAAAATAACAACAAACCCAAAAAAAACCAAAACAAAAAGTCTTATAACGAGAAACATGCCAATGTTTTTGATAACACCCCACTAGCATATCAAAATAGTTGGAGTGACAGGAATGAAGGGTGCGATAGTTATGAATATCAAACAAAATTACTTACTTAATCTAAGTGTAGATAGAGTCTAATGTAACATAATGACAACAAGAACAATAATCAGACAAAATATACACCCCAATTCTTATATTTGGTCTTTTCGCGCACGGTACGATATTACCTTTATACGCGGTTAATACACGAATAGCTTAACATTTTTTACAATAAGAGGGTAGTGTACGCTGCATTGTTTACCTTCGCGTTCCAGACGCGATATTAAAATAGCTAAGGAAGACCTAGGTATCCTAAATCGCAGGCTGTCTGGCGAAAATGTATAATATATATTTTTGTAATATAAATAACTTAAGACGTTGATTACGTTTGTAAATGAAAATTGTTGACGTAAACCGAAAATTATTATCAACAGCGTAAAGAATTTGATGAATGTTCTTCGTCTGTTTTGTTTTGTCTCATAAATTGCTTTTGGCCTTGTGAGTCATGATTAAAAATGTTACTGTGTTTTATTTATTTACTCTTTAGGTGAAATAGAGGTTAGTTTTGCTTAACTTATTTAAAATTTACGGGAAGATTAAAATTCAAATATACCGAACATTTATTTCATTTTGAAAACTATACAGGACAGGTACAGGAGTATAATAATTAACCTAATATTTTATTTTACATAAGATATTGTTACTTTTTTTGCTTCGTAAAATTTTTGTTGTAATGATATGTAAACAAACAACTAATATCCACGAAACAAGAATGGCAAACATTTTTTTTTTTACAAAATACTATTGTAATTGATATATGCCACAATAACGTTACGTTTGATGCTTTGAAGTAGGACACGTTTTGGTCCTTCGATACGCGCCTTATAATTTTTGGTCCTATTCGTTGGGAGCCACAATAAAACAACTACTGGATACTAAAGGACTGACAATTCATTAGAAATCAATTGGAATCGTAAAGGTACCTTAAAACTAAGTGTAACACTGTTAATACCTGTGTAAAACTGTTAATACCTGTGTAAAACTGTTAATACCTGTGTAAAACTCTTCTCCTGTGACAGTAGGAGAGGCCTCGTAGCAACTGGAACATGTAGAGTCTTACATTATGGTGATTCAGCCCTCCGGGGTGCCTCTCCATGTATTGCGATAAATCCGTGTCCTGGACAAAAGCAAAATCAATTAGTATTTAGAGCAAGCAGACAAAATATATTAATGAGACTGAAATAGACAATTTTAAGTTTTTACATTGATTACAATTTTTTTATCTTTAATTTTAAGGACTTTTGCTCTAAAACATGTCAGCCCCGTGAATGCAATTTTGAAAATGTTCGTTAGCACATATGTAATTGTTTTCTGGTTTGAGATTTTATTTGACCATAAGATGTTTTATTTCATGAAATTGAACTTTAAATTTAGTTGAAGTGACGCCATTCGCAAAGATTGCAGTGGAAAGAGAAAAGATTAATCTCATTGACGTGCTATTGAAGAAGATCTCCTGCGAAGGACAGAAATAAGCTGATAATTATGAACTCTAGAAAGTAACTTTAAACATTGCAAAATTCAACAGGCATCGAAAAAACCTACCGTTAATACTACTTATTATTAAAATCAAAAAACTTTCTCAGTCATTCAAACACTAAAATTAACAATTACCATTGCTTAAAACGGGGTATGTACAGTGTACACTACAATAGAAAGTCAACTATACCTACATACTTAAATCGTATATTTAAGAAAAACAAGCAATATCTAAAAGATGATGTCAGCTAAGCCAATTTAGTTTCACTTTCAAATACTACAAAGACGAATTTTGTATACGTTATAAAAACGGGGAAGTAAAAAACTTGCCATTTACATCAAAGTGCGTCATTTGTATGAGAATTAACTATCGAGAGATACGTAATAGGCTGTCATCATCGTGATCACCAGCTCGTGGACTGTCATGGGACTAAGAGCATCTTTGACTTTATTATTATGTTTATTTTATTATGTTCCACGATAGTTAGTTCGACTGCACGGTTGGTGCGGTGGCTGGGCAACGGGCTGCGGCGCAACGTGTCCCGGGTTCGATTCCCGCACGGAACAACTCTTTGTGTGATCGACAAATTGTTGTTCCGGGTCTGGGTGTCATGTGTATGTGAAATTATATGTTTGTTACCGCACCCACGATACAGGAGAAAATCATATGGTGGGCAACGTTTTTTTTTAAAAAAAGAAAAGAAAGAAAGTATTTAGTACACAGAAAAGATTCAAAACTGTTAAAGAGCCCTGATGCCCGGTCTCTTTAAATTTTTCTCTCAGTCACGGGTATATATATATATTTATAAAATTAAATACTAATCCACAATCACCAAAGCAGAAAGGAAATAGCCATTGTAAGATACGCAATAAAAATACACCTACCTACATATGTATGTAACACTGAATGGAAATCGATATCAATATCAATTGACATTGGAAAGAAGCGACAAATGTAATTGAATTCGCGAACAGACTGCTGCTTATTGATATTTCTGTTTATTATATTTCCAAATTATCAAGCTCAATGAACTATGAAAGGCGAAAAGTTTCCAATTGTTTTTGTTTAATGTACCTACATAACGTTATGTTATTTCTGATTTGTTTTTTGTCTATTGTCGACATGAGTGGCTTTTGTTTTGCCATTAGCCAATTCGACTTACGGCTTTCTGATCAACGTCAGCGAATTGATTCCTTATTTTGTCCGATAATCGAACTCCTAAGATGGTGCGCATAACCATCAAGGAGTACTGGCAAACCTTGAGTCTTTTGACTAACTTTTGTTGTTTTGTCAAAGACCAGGTCTGAAGCCCGTAGGTGAGGATAGGCAAAATGCACACGGCCATGAGCTTCCTTTGAAGGAAGGTTGGAAGATTGCCTTTTATTAGGTATCCCATGGATCAATAGCCAAAAAATACCAAGAACCGTGTTCTATAATTAGGGAGATATCCTTGTTAATATCAATCGAAATCGTGTTTGTTTGTCTTTCTTTCATATCATAACGAATCTATTTTATGGTACGATTTTAACGTCTGCAGATGTGATATGGATATCTTTATTTTGTACTACTATTATAACAAAATAATAAAACGCTTACCACAAATTCAAACACGAAGGTTAGCGTCTCTCTGGTGTGCACAATATCATGAAGGGTGACAATATTCGCGTGTTTCAACTCCTTCAGTAAGGAAGCCTCCCGAATAGCAGTGAATGGAGCCCCCTCTTCTTCCTGCAGTCTGATCTCTTTCAACGCGACGACTTGCTGCGTTAAACTGCGAACAAAAGACATACCTTAGCAATACGATCATAATGATAAAACCGTGCAATTTCCAACAACAATCTCCTATTAATAATACTGATTAACAGTTCCTTCTAAGTGGATGATCTGTTTTCGTAATTGTCAAGTTCAAGACAATAAAATGAAATGCCTTTCTGATGGCCAAGTCGTGAAACAATGCTATCTAGTCTTGTGTTCGTTTTGTGCTAATGGCACGTTTAATAAAATAAAACAAGTGTACGTATTATTTCGCATTGTTCATACCGGTCGTGGTCACGACTAGGCTAGTTCACACGTTAGTCTAGGTGAGATAAATAATGCAACGCTCAGCTCATTTGCATCGCACGGTCTAGCCATTGAAATTGGAGCCGTATAGAAAAGTAAACAATGTCGACCTACGACAATACAGAACAAAGAAAAGTGGGGTAGGAAGTCCCCTAACGTTTTATTGCCGGATATTAGCAATTATGTCAATGTGTCTAGCGCCTTGATCAGTAAACTAAGCTCATTAATATGCTAGACATGTCGACGTCGTTAAGAAAAGTACGAGCTCGATTATGACATTATAATTTAATAAGTTTACTGCCGACGACAACAATTCATTCCGCTTCAAAGCTTTTTGTGGATGTAGCTCAACAAATTAATTTCTGGTTAGCATTAATGAGAGATCTTATATTTGAAGTTATAATACGCGCCGCTAATTCAGCTAGCTTTTAGCTCAAACGTCTAGAAATATTTATGAGAGAATCCAGTTACCGGATGCCAAAGGATTCTTGAACTAATTCCGTGAAACTAGCTGAACCGTACATTAGTGCTAAGGACGTACGGAGTTCGTGTTCAGAAGTCTATGAAATTGTGATATGTCGTCGCCTAGCCGTAGTGCAGCGTACAAGCGTGATAAGGAAACTTGTAGGGCCATGAATACGATGAATTTGGCGAGTTGAACATGCTTATTACCTCCCAACATAGTGAGGTTGAGCACTTCATTCAATATTCACGAGCAATGAACAGTGCAAGTTCCGTTTGACTTGGCCCACTCAACCTGACCCCGCCGCGGACTACCGGGGTTTAGCATATTAATTCGTGAACTAAAATATACGAGAGTTTTAACGTAAAATTTTATTTTGCGCGAGTCGTACATTAAAATTAACGAGCTGGTATGCAAAGGCTGTAAAGCCAATGATGAATAAATCAATGAAACAAACAATGAAACAATGAATTTATTTTTGCAAATAGGCCTTAAAACGGCACTTTTACACGTCAAATTATATGTGAAAAACTAGATGAAGCTGAAATGTATTCGAATCTGCTCACTGTTTTTTAAACAGCTCAGTGATATAAAAATGTATCGTGTATTTTGCAATGAAATGGGATAACGGGTCTGTGCTTTACATATCGAGTGATGTCAAAGGCCGATTTCAAAGTGGGAACGCGGGAGACTCCGACAAGTGCGGTACAAAGGCAACATTGTTGGGAAAAATACGAACTCCGGCTGCGGATGCGGAGAAACGCGAGGAAAGATCTTTTGATGAGGATTTAGCCACTTTCATCGTAAAATATAAAATAAAAATGCGAGAGAGAATAATAAAAGAAATATTTGAGTATCTTTAAAAAAGAAAAGTAATCAAATGAATCCAATAAAAGATGAATTTTATTGAAGAAGACAAACCGAAGTTACGATTTATTTGAGGCGAAGTTAAACAAGATTCAATAATATCTGGAACTGTGTAGGCAATGTTAAATCTATTTGAAGTTATTCCTAGGAGGCGGTTTTCTAGATATTTCTTTGAGATTGGCAAAGAGCAATTTAAGCAATCACAACTTAACGACGATACGAAAAAATCGTCGACTTTAGAAATTGTTTACGCAGAAATTCTCATTGGTATGGCTTTCAGATTGTAAATATACAGTTAAAAGTAAAAGAGAAAAATCTGCTGGAAGATGCTCAGCCGCACCCACTCGAGGCATACCCTCGACGCATATTTAAATATCAATATCCGTGGAATTGCATCAATATTTATAAAGCTAATTGCTTTTACACAGAGATGATTAATTGCTTCATGTCATTCAAGGAACTTCCTCATAATGGAATCATTTAAAGGAAAATGTTTTGTTTCTCTACTGATAGTAGCCTTTTGTGAAGTCATGAAGGGTATTGTACTCGAATAGATGGCATTTAAGTGGGACATAAAACAATACCTACCAAAGATTAAAGCATGATTTCCGAACTCTGTGCTAGTGGCGAAAATAAATTGATCAATCCCTACCAAAAACACATAAAGGCCAACTAAACAGTGTTACAATTTATACATACAAATACATATCTACTTATCGTCACTGTGGCTAGTATATCAGTACTTATACTGTTACTCATGGATTACCAGACATAATGTTAATTCTGCATTATACTTGTGATGTTTCAATCAATATTACACACACACCATATAAGGACCTAATGGCGACCCTGCGAGGATCCCCGTCCTCCCATTAGCGTAAACGGAAACAATTGAACGCCAAATGATACGATTCTGACATACTTGTTTCTCTTCTTCTACATTCATCAATCTCTTTATGCATGCTCATCAATTAATAGTGGCAAGTTACATAGAGAAGAAATAACTACTTCATCATTAACTATTTACCTAGTTGTAATTAGCTCATCAGCACCGAAACTCCAAAAGGAGAAGTCTAATTTCCCGGCTGTGGTACTTATTTATTTGTTTATTTAAACCTTTACGTTCAAGCAACTTTGACTCATAGACATATTACCTTACAGACTAGTATACACCGCATTCTGCCGCATTTGTAAGAATTAGGTACTAAACTTTCCATGTGGCTTCGTTTCCAGACAGATCATTCTCGAGGATAATTTTAGAGTCATTCAATTGTTTTATGATATTCGGGAAAACCAGTGCGTGCGTCTTAGAAATATCGACTACAGTCGCGTTAATTCCCGATTCGACTTAAATGACATCACATACATACAAACATTAACCTTGGTTAGACTGCTTTTTATGCAATTTCTCAAAGGGCAAAGAAGGACTGTCAGACTGTCACTGACTAAAAACCATACCGTTCCTTCTCCAGCTCGGAGCTGGACCACGGCACATCATGCTGACACAATCACCAACGGTTTGCCTAAGCGGCATTCACAGTGTCCGCCAAGAAGTTAAAACTGAATAAAAACTACTTGGAATTAACTAACTTGCATTAGACAATTCGTATATTACTAAAAAATATATCGTATACTCACTTGCTATATCCTTTATAAACTGTGGCGTAGGAACCCTCACCAAGCTGCTCGAGTTTTATGTAAGCTTCGGATTTCCCGAAAGGAGAATCACCCTGTTGACAGACAAAGCGTTCATTAATCAACGCAGGAGCATATCCGACTAATCTGATAATTTACAACACAAATATATGCTGATGTCGGGATTATGAAATCGTACGACATTATAACGGGGGAAGCATGAATATGTTTTAATTAGGGATTTATGGTGACGTTTGTTCGTGTTACGTTGTAATTACGCATTTGTTTTGTTAGTACGAATAGTAAAACTATTTACATCTAGGGTATTGGATAAGCATTTTCCTCAGCTAATAACTTTCTTCGTTTTCAAGTATTTCGTTCATATAAAATTCTTAATAGACACGACTCTTTGTTTATTTACAAGGTTCAAATATAGGCTCCGTGCTACCCCAAAAACAATTCACCCTCGCTAATCTTAATATCTAACCTAACACTACACATTCAGCTACAGTATTTTCGTCCTTAAATAGAACAATAGACAACACAAAGTACAATATTGTAGCGACATCTATCGCACAACAATAACAACAGCACTATAAGAGTTCTCAACGCAATTAGAACCGATATAAAATCCCGACAACAACAGTCGGGCAGTAGCCCACCAGACACAACACCCGTCTGGTCGGAGGATCCTCCCTTTTCAATGGAGGATGAGGAACTTTACACCCTATTTTCTCACACACTCTAAAATATCAATATATTTTTTTGCATTATAGGTGCGAACTTTACCTATTAAAAGACGCCATAAAAACAGAAGAACAACAAAAGATATTTATAACTATTAGTTTATATTATGACGTATTGCAAGCACTTAGGATACTTTTGAAACCATTTACGTTTCGCTTTCTTTTTTTATACCTGTATAAATATTTGATCTGGCTAATGTATACCTGCTGAATAGCATACATAAACAAGCCGTGAATCTACTCCAACTACAAAAGATGGGTTTGACTCATCCCCCACGCTAGACAGTTTGGGAATCGTAGTATAAAATCGGGTTTATGAGAGAGTGCTGCTGATTGGTCTAAACTATCTTCTATCAGCGTCTTCGCCCGCGTTAACAAGCACGACAATTCCAGAGACAATAATCTATCTCTGTGCAAAATTCAATTCAAATCATTTCAGTAGTTTTTACTTGAAAGAGTGACAACCAACCATCCATCTAGGTATCCATAATTATAACCTATCAGATTTATAAAATCACTCCGAAATTGGCTTTATGGTTTCCAAGATAGTTCAAATGTATGAAGATTTTGTTTGGCATAGGTTTTTTTGTGAGGGGAAAAATCATTAAATGACTTCTCCCGTCAAGGGTGGGGCGGGAGGGACTGCCGGACTCTTTCTGAGTAAAAACCTGCTTCTCCTGCTTTGGGGCGAGGCCGCGGTGCCTCATTGCGCTTACCGCGCAACCCCGGCTGGTTCGGTATAGGTTGATTGCTAGTACAAGCCAATATATGGAAAAACAAAATTATTATTATTTGTATGTTCGTTTCCGTTCACGGGATCATAGGATCCCGGACCTTTGGAAGGCGTACGAGGGGCCGAAGCCAACTCGCAGAGGCCCTTTGAACAGTTTTAATCTAAATGTGATGGGACATCAGCCGGCAATTATCTCTGTTTGCACTATGAAAGTGCACCCAAGGATAATCCCCGGTTGATGCAAGACTATTGCGAATTGTGGTAATAAACGAAAGGGTTATGGGTATGGGTTGCTATGGACTGGTGGATATGATAACTATGGAAATACTATGGCCCCTGCCCCTGACCAATATTGATACATACGGATAAACAGGCAGGGGGTGACTGGCAAACTCAATTAATGGGCCCCCGGAAACGGCCGCTAGCATGTAGCGACACGGAGGCAACATACGTTGAGCTGCTTGGGGAAGGAGAGGCATCCCACGGCTATCAGAGCAATCCCGGAAGTACGGTCAAGACCCCTACCAGCACCTTACTGAGATACATCCTTCCCCCGAGTCTCCTTCAACTCCTACTCTTGCGAATCTCCACTCAAGCCAGCCAATTAAGGCAAGAATGAGGTAGGAGGGCTTGTTCTTCATCAGTGTTCACTCCAGCTCGTCACGAGGACTAACCGGAAAGAGAAGAACAAGACACCTCCCGGGAGTCAGGTCCGTGGGGTCGCCACTGCCCAACAGCTCGCCACAAGCTGCCTTGCGGATTATGCAGTCCCACAGTAGGCTCTCATGTACTATTCTGTACTCTTATGTACAATTGTTTCTACTCTGCCGCCAATAATGTATATACGTTGAATTGCATGCTTGGGAATACTTAAATGTAGCTATTCGAACAGCTTGTTCTCGTTATCGGCAACTAAAATACTTGAGTTAATGTTAAGAAACGTTAATTGGGTTATTTTAAGTGGTTACTGTTTGATCTTGGAGCTGTAATGAAACGATTGTATGTATTTAACGAACAAGTTTCGTGTTGAACTTGATTTTGTTATTAGATATGTATAAATATTTTGCTAATAAAATCTTCGTAATTAAAAACGGTGTTAGGTTATTATGTATGTTATTAGAGTACAATAGTACTCTAGACAAAAGTTGAACGGTCTGATCGATTAGGCAGATTTCTTAATTACACCTGTGCAATACATTTGCTAAAAAAATACCGGAAACTTATAATTGCACTGTGATATAGGGTTTCCTACTATATGTTTTTTATGCGTACTTGTGTACAATAGGAGCACGACCTTAAGCAATAAATAAACTAACAAACATTTACGGAGGAACTGGCAAGAAAAAAGCCTTTTTTCATCACAAAGGATATTTCCACAAATGATTATGGTATCCCAGAATTACTCTCTGCTCTAATCGCACGATCTATCAACGTCTCCGTCGGTCCTACGAAGCCGATTTGTAAGCTAGCAACACCACGGCCGACCGCCGACGAACATACAGCATTTATCATTATCCCTATACATGTATACGTAGGTACCTACTTATGTGCATATGAAGGCGCGAAGTAGAAATAAAGGTCTGCAAGATTTATACAGACATTATTTTAGACCCATTATAACAAAATAGTTTTACAAAATTGTACTATTTGCTTATTCAAATGCGTAAACACCGTGTTTGTTATTACGGTCGTATTGTTTAGCTGTATAGTTACTATGTTTGAAAACAAAATGACTGCGATTAAGTTTTAGATGAGCCTGTTGCTTTGTTAGTATTGTGTGACTTGAAGATATTTGTTATTTTCCATTGATTTCAACATTGTTTTAATACAAAACGACTAAATGAAAGGTTTGTATATGAGTAGTACGTACCCCAAAGGCACTAAACCGCTTGGTACGTCGGTTGGAGTGGTCATGAGGACCTAAAAAGGCCTCAGACTTGGGCCGAGGAGGTCGTTTCGGCCTCATGACGACCCTCGCCTCCTCCCGAGCACCTTCGTCAAGGAGCTTCGAGTCCGATGATACAGACAGTTGTCTTCTTACACGATACTCGCCGTTGCCGCCGCCACCGCTCCATTCTGTGCACAAAGAAATATATTTTTAAAGACATATAGACTAGGGTCTGCCATAGCGAACAATTAAAAGCTTTGCGAGAAAACAAAACAAATAACTTAACTAAAATTACCGCATTTTTGAGATTGCTTATTAATGAGAATGGTTACCGTTTTATACCTTAAATATATAAATGTCGCAATGTATGTTCAAATCCGAGTGGGATACAGTTGGAAAATCCAATATTTCCACCTACATACACAAACGTAAATCCCGTTCACGTTCCGAAATTACAGCGGCTGTGTTAAAAGTAATCGCTCTTTTGATAAACCCATTACACCACAGTCATTCATGTTGGCGTCCCCCAACCGTGAATAAATATGACGTGTACGACTGTACGTATTTACCTCCCACCACATCAATATCAACAATCATCAACAGTACTCCCAAACATTTTCATTGAAAGCTTTGTCAATTGACAGAATGGAAATCCCGCCCGAATATTCCCCACGAGCACTTAGTAAGCAAATTAATTCACAAGAAAATAAAAATGGGGCATCAACGCGATGTTGTTTGAAAGAAGCTATTTTTCTCGCGTCCCTCAATAATCTGTATCGAGAATCGAAACACTCTCGGAGCGCGTTAGCTTCACACAAAGGCCCGGTGTATCGCGATGGCTGTAAGCGCAAATCGAATAAATCATTCGCAGACATAGAATCGTTAGAAGGACAAATCGATTATAAGAACAATCGATCACTAGTATTTAAACTAGGAGGAGATGAACGATTGTGTCAGGATGTTTAACGTATCGAGTTTTCCGTGATATTGTCTCGGAATGGTAAAATAAATGGCTGGATGTCACAAGTAAGAGACCAAGAAGTAAAACTGATACAAAAAATGTATCTAAACATTACTTCATAAATCCTAAATATAATTTAACGGTTTATTACAAACGTCGAAGTGATGAGTAGTACATCAATTTTGCGTGCGGTGTAACGCGTTCCGGGCAATGTACGAAATGGGTCACGGGGTGGTTCGGGTGCGGTGCTTATTTCCCCCGTAAGGGACTCGGACCGATTCAGGCATACCCACCGATAATTTTATTGGCCAAGTCCCCATTGCCCGCTTCTATTAACTCGATTCAAATATTGAGATCGATTCGATTTGAAGGGTCGAAAAATTACGAAAATAAACAAGGGCTGCCAATTAAAAGTTCACTTAATAATCCATTTAGACGGGCATTTTTTTAAATTCTTATTTCTCTGACTAATGATTTCACGTTAATGGAGTTGAAGCGCCAAAATTCTTCAATTAGCAAAAATAGAGCAGTAATTTGTTCAGGAAACTTGAAATGAGATTCTACGATCATAATTATGATGAATCCTTTCATTAGCTAACCAAAACTTTTAGCTTTTATTACGGACCGGCTAGACCACTTACAGGTTTTCATTTACGCAGACTCAAACGACCTCTTGCTTCCCGAAAGGAAAACCAGTTCCCGGTATATTTTTTCATAAACATTTCAATATTGAAGTCGTATACATCGAGACATAATTTATTACGACAAGAGCAATAGCAAGTATCGTTGTTGCGGTACACAAAACGCCAGTTTATCCGTCCTGGAGTAATTTTCTTCGAAGGTTCCGGGTTATAAAATAGTAATATCACCATTCTGCCTCCATTTAAGGGTCATATGTCGTATAATGTTGTTTTACGAGCAGTCTTTTGATGTCGGTTCAATGCATATTGGGTGTTTTCTTGGTTGTATGCCCGTGTTCGTGCGTATACCGTATCCACCGTGTTTCATAATTCGAAGTAAAAAAATATTTATCGAGCCCTAAATCCTCGTGTCATTCAGGCCACTCCTCGTTTGGTATTTTCGTAATTAAAATGGACAGGGATCTTTTATGGTGCGACACGCGTTATGCACGAAACAGTGGAACAATTAGGTTAATTGTGTAAGCCTATGTCAGGCTTGGGTGTTTTATTCAGCGATCGTGTAGCGAATGGTGTTATACTAGGATCCCCGGATGTGTCCATCAGTATGAGTGTTGTAACAGATTGCGTGACAGGATATAAGGTTGTCGTTACGAAGGTAAAATTACATGTTCAGAGGAAAATGGTGACGTGCCAAACTAATAGATTCATGTTTTTATTATACTATTCTTAGTTAAAAGGACGATATAGAATGTCTCATTAGGCTTATGTTTTTGCCAATTAAATCGAAAAAGACGTGATCAATTATTAAGGGGTTTGTGTTCAAATCAGAATGCGTTCAAATTCTCACATTATTCATTCCTTTTGATCAAGTTACACGTCTCTATCCGGAATATACGCATGGAGAAATTTCCTTCTTGTAGCTAATTCAATAAATGTTTAACCCGACACCATGTGACCCAATTAGAAAAGTTTTCGGATTACGTGAGGGCAACATTCCGACGAGGTTTTTCTTGATCCACATAACACAATATTAATATCAACTTTCCTGACCTTTAAAACGAACGTTTTTCAAACGTCACTCAACACGAAGGGATAGTTACTTTGTTAGACCACAGATTTATTACATTAATAATTAATTAATATAGATGTTTATTAAATTACTTGCTATGTAAAGAGAGAGTAATTTACTGTTAGGAAAGCGTGGGACTTTTAAATTTTTACCTAAATTTGACGATGATAAAATATTATCAAAATATGTTACATAATTTTCCAAGTAATATTATTTTAAGTATATACATTTTTAGACAAACCAATTTCTTCTTCTTGTGAATAAGAAAAAGATATGAACCCAATTCATCGTTTTTATAAAACCACTATTAAAATAGGTCGGTTAATACGATTCCAATTGTTAAAATTCAAAATTCAATATAATTAATGAAATATTACGAGAGCACGTTTACAGATAACATTAATTCTACGTTCGTTAATTATTGAATGCACGTAATTTGATTTATAATGCTAATTAACTGGTTGTGGTAATATACAACGGCTGCATGTTCTTTCGTGCGAATATTTTGTGCAAATTAATTAAATTGTATCCAATTAGAGATCTGTTGGAAATTCATTAAAATCGTTTGTGTCTCTTTAACTGTTAACAAATGGTTCTTCACTACTTCAAAACTACAAAAATTACGTTTTTATATAATAGGGAGACAGTAGATACTGATGGTAAGCAATCGGTAAGTATCGGTAAGTGTGGGAGAGCCATGCTTCGGCACGAATGGGTCGGCTCGACCGGCGTGATATATGACTGCCTCACAGAAGACCGACGTGAAACAACCACAGCGTTGTGTCTTTTGGGAATTAAATTTCAAATTGAAAACTGCTGTGTTACAGTAGTTTTCATAAAGAAATATTCATAGATACATATTTAAATGTATCCTTCAAACTATTCGACGAAACAGCGGTGATGAGGGTTTCCGTATACATTAACATTTTCATAGATTACATTAAGTGTGGGAGAGCCATGCTTCGGCACGAATGGGTCGGCTCGACCGGAGTGATACCACAGCCTCACAGAAAACCGGCGTGAAACTACCACAGCGTTGTGTTTCGCCGTGTGAGTGAGGTTACCGGAGGCCCAATCCCTAAATCTCCAAATCCCTAATCCCTAATCCCTAAAAGGTCGGCAACGCACTCGTAACTCCTCCGTTGTGTCCATGGGCGGCACTGATTGCTTACCATCAGGTAATCCGACTGCTCGTTTGCTGACCTATTACATAGAAAAAGATACATTTACCTACCCCTACTTCAGAATGGTAATTGTTATTAATGTTTACATTCGTAATGAGTTTCAAATTACAGGAAGATTCTCACACCTGTTTGTTTTTATTTTTGTTTTGTTCTGTTCAAATTGTTTGTATACAAATGCCGGCCATTTTGTGTTTACAAATACGGATCACGGAATACGATTCACGTTTAATGGCCTGTTAGAGACATTTCGTTAGGTGCTATTACTTACTGTTCAATTATAAATTACTAGTTTTGAGGAAGAAATAAATAAAAATAATTTGTTTTTTATATCTGTGTTTTTTCGTTTCAGTTCATGTGTTTTACACTTCCTCCTTGGAATTTACACTTTGGAAAATTGACGGACAATTTAATGTTGAAATTTTCATTTCAAATAGCAATTGAGACTGTAGAGTATTACTTAGAAGGTAATATATAAACTTTTTAAAGTTCTGTTATAGTGTTTATTATACTTTTGGTAAAAAAGCAACGTTTTTTGTTAATTATTTATTTATTTATTTATACTTTTGGTACACACAGGATTTTTTAACAATACAAAAATAATGTTTGTTGTTAACCTTTCGTGTGTTTTAAATGTTGATCCACGCGAGACACATTCAACGAGTTAAGAGCCTTCTTTAATATTTATTCTCTTTTCTTTTTAACCTTTTTGATATAATTTCAATTGTGTAGCTATCAGGGTGGACGTAATACATCCCGATGACAGACAGCATAACAGACGGGCTGCGGATTCTTAGTACTAGGATTCCCGGTTAAATAGTGTAAATTTAAATTTTTAAGAGTGTAAATACATTTCGCTTAATCGCTCCCCTCGATATACATAAGTTTGTTTCAACAAGAGACCAACATGTGAAAAAAGAAAACATTGCATCGAAAAATGTTATTACTGACTGTATACTTTAGCAGATTTCAACGCATAGTTAAGTGCTGAGTAATTAATAAATAATGTATAAAACCAGAGCATGCAATATATACATTAGGGGACAATATCCCTAGGCTACTGAGTGGCCTTTAAATCGAAAGGTCACTGGTTCGATTCGTTGAACCGCTAATCACACTCCTACGAGCACGTTCACCTAGTTGAAGGCTAGTTTTATTGTGTAAGTCTTTTTTTATTAGAAATAGAATTAATACAATCCAAATCCAAACTAATATTATAAATGCGAAAGCAACTCTGTCTGTCTGTCTTTTCTTCACGCCTAAACTACTGAACCGATTTCTGTGTTTGGTACAGGCATAGTTTGGAACTCGAGAAAGGACATAGGATAGTTTTTAC